TCTTTGTGAACCACACGTGTCACGAGAGTTTCTCTGTCGAACGGGGCAAATCTCACAGTCAACAGGAATGCAATGGGATGTTGGGAAAAAATAGTAATATACTTACAAGAAGAGGTGCTGAAGGACATACCTGTTCAGAAAGTAAAAACACACAATTAAGATCATGTTTCTGTTAACCAAAAAAAAAAAAAAATCATTGCACTAGCTACTTCATTTCCCCCTCTCTCTATGAATTCTTATGCATGATAATTACACCATGGTATAGACCAGTCTTCGTCAAATTTGGCGACTTTAAGATGTGTGGACTTCAACTCCCAGAATTCCCTAGCCAGCATGGTGTAGACTAAATCTTCACTTGCAACTGCCATGAGGTCCCAAGTAGCTTCAGAGGTAAGCAACATGTGGCCCTCCAATTACTAGACTGCAGTTCTCATCTTTCTTCACCAGCATGCCAGAGTTGGAGTTTAATCTGTGTTGTAGCAAACATAGCCTCACCATGGAATGTGCACCTGAAATGGATTCAAAAGGGATCAGTGCAAGAATCCAGATTCAGACAGAATCCAGATGGCTCTTTGCCTGAATATGTCTAGTGAAAGGGAACTAACTGTCTTGTTGGGTAATTTGGTTGCAGAACTACTCCCTTCCAATAACTTAAGCTTATTGTTTCTCATTCTTAGATAGCAGAAACTGTGTGAAACCCCTTCAAATACTTAAATTGTGCTGACATCTCCCTGTCAGCCCTTCGAGGTAGACCAGGTCTAGAAACAGAAACTACAAGAAGTAGTAGAACTCTACTTTATTGATTTAGGCTCTAATAACAGAATCTTGAAAGCCTGACAGCATTTCCCCCTCCCTCCCTTCTTATACCAAAGAGAGTCAAAATGGGGCAGTCTTGAGTTTCTTTCTCACCCCTTCTGCTTTCCTGGGCTAAGCTGATGTTTTTGTAATGGCTGCCACATATTTTCTTCAGTCCATCTCTCTACTCCTCTACGCTCCCCTACCTAGTCATCTCTTAGACATACTTAGTTCTCAAAAGACTAACTTTTCAGTCCTCTGATTATTTTTATTGTCCTTATCTGCTCCTATCCCATTTTCACTGAAATTTTGTTAAATTCTATCCGGCCAGGGAGTTCTGAACTCATTTATGTCTCAAAGTATCCCCTTACTATGTCAAAAGCTGTATTATTTCAACAAAGGTTAAACAAACAAAAAAAGCATGATGAGTCACAGTAACATGGAATTCTCAAACTATGAAGTGCTGTGACCCTGTAATGCTTAAAATAGGACTTCTCATCATCTTGATATCGCAAACCCAGAAATCTGTTCTGAATGATACAACTTTAACTAAAGTTAAGTTCAAACCCTTGAGAAATGTAGTAGCTTGGGAATGTAAGACTAACAGAAAAACAGTCTTCCATATAAGGGATTCCCTTTCAGTTTTACTAACTCACTGGCAACATGATTCTTAGGGTTGCTTTGCTAGGAAGAGCTGGCTGTGTCCTCCTGAAATGGAGGACGCTTTGATGATTACTTGACACTTACTTCGACTGGAGGTTGAGGTTGTGGCTTCTGGGACACTGTTCTTCTTCAGACTTGACCGTCGTTCCAAGGAGGGTCGGGGAATCACCTTAAGGTCATCCAATGGAGCAGTTAGCAAGGAATGCACAGGAGACCTATCTTTGTATCGCTCATCTGAGGACGGTTTCTTTGAAGAGGTATAGCGAGCGGTAGAGATCATTTGAGACACTAAATGTAGCAAAGACAGGGTATGTTAAAAGGGAGCGCTTAATGGGACTGAAAGTTTCCCCCCCCCCCACCAAAGATTAGAACACAAGAGTGTTTCTTACAAATTTCAACTACCATTTCCAATGCTGACATTGTAGTTCCATAAGAGAATTTTCAACCACACTGATCTCCCAGGATTTGTGCTGGGCTGTTAGATCAAATTCCCCTCTTATCAATGGTTAGCTTCTTCTACCTGGGTGCATAAGTTGGCAAGGCTTGGGGCAACTTGTGTTTGGCTTCTCCCACTAGGACTTTCTCCATCAGAAGCTATCTTACCTGATGCTGTGGAGTCTTTGGTGCTCTCTGAGCTTGGTTGTTCACTTGCAGATGTTTCATTACCCAACTAGGTAACATCATCGGTGCTAGTGAGTGTGGGGTTTGCTCCCTGTTTGTATACAGTAGCTTGCCCTGCCAGTGTTGGTGTGGGTGTGGTTTTCTCCTTGGTAGTTCCTTGATTAGGGTATTTTTTTCTGCTTGATCATTTGTCTGTGGTTAATCCCTGCTTATCTGGGTGTAGGCTGCTAGAGAGAACATGTTCTGGTCTTTTTGTTTCTTTCTTAGCTTTTTTATTGTCTCTTTTGAATGATGTGTCAGTGTGGTTTATCTCTTTGTGTCTATTGATGGTTGATTTGTCTGAATGCTTCCAGGAATTCCCTAGCATTTTTGGATTTACCTTGGTCTGGGACGCTCAGTGTTTCCCAGTTAAAATTGTTGTTGAGTCTGTCCATGTGTTGTGAGATTAAGGAGTTTTCATCATGTCTTCTGACTGCTTGTTGGTGTTCATGGCTGCACTCTGCTAGTCTTCTGCCTGTCTGTCCCACATAGTAGCTGTTACAATCCTTACACTGTATGTTGTAGATGACTGTTTTGGTTTACTTAAGATGTTTTGGAGGGCTTTAGCTGGTTTGTGTGGTATGGTGATGCCATGTGGTTGTAATAGTCTGTTGATTGTTTCTGAGAAGTTTTTGATGTGTGGCAGTATTATCCTTTTCATAGCTTGTGTTGATTGTGCTGTAGTGGGTTGAGTGGTCAGGCACTTTTT